GTGTGCATTAATTATGTGATCTCCTTTTGTCTTACACGTCATCAGTTCTGCCTGTGCCCATTTCTTCCACATTGTACAGGTAGCCAACATCGGGGATTTTGTAGCTATTTGGGTGGGGAGAAAAAAAAAAAAAAAAAAAAAAAAATTTATACACATATATATATGTATGTGTAACACCCCATATGCCGCTAGCAGCTGTGCGAAACCTCCATTGCTTCCCACGCGCAACCGATGGACCTACTTCTTCTGTGCAATGTTTGTACTTATGACGTAATCGAAATCTTGTGACTTCCTGAGCTCGCCATATTCAAAGTTGGGGTATATTTTTGGCCTCCTCAATTTAAAGGGTGAATCATCATAAATGGGGTACCCCCATAAGAAGGTCTTGTAGTTATGACCTTTGTTTATTCGGTTGGTGTGTCCCCCGTTTGTTTTTCGTGGGTGTAGGACGAACGACGGGCAAGAAGAGACGCCCCTGCGTTTAACGCGCAATGGTCCCACTCCCTGCTGGACGTGAAAAGCGATGCACACAAAAATGAGCGCAACGCATTTCATGTTTTCGCTCAAAAACAAAATATACACAACGCGAAGGAGAGGCATAACCAGGACACCAACTACCACAGTTCAATTGACAATTGACCCAGACAACCTTTTAACCAACTCTTATACACGTTAGGGTGGGGGGGGGGAGCCCACTGTGACATGGCTACTTAGCAAAAGGTAAGGAAAATGGCATTGTGAATTTACACATGAGGGAAATGATACACAATGTGCCGTAACAGGGGAAAACTCTTTTGTAATAAAAAAAAAAAAAAAATTCCTTAATTTATGCACAGAGGTTAGATAACAGGCATCGCGCAAACTTGCCCTTCTTGAGCCCAACCGGAAAACGGAGAAAGAAAAAAGAGGCAAAACATATTTGGGGGGTATGTGTACCGTGTATTATTTGTACGGTGCACAACTCTTGTGCTTACCCAAGTATATATATCCCCTCCCCCGTGTAATTAAAAAAAAAAAAAAAAAAAAATTACGAAACAGGTGCCTTCTCTCCCGCCACGCACTTGCGGCCAAAAAATTGACATAAATGGGTAAAAATTGACTTAACTTGATAAAAAGCGAAAGGCATCACCAAACACAGAGCAGCGAAAGGGACGCACCTTGCCAGGAAACAAAAAGGAGTGTTGGCAAAACATCCATCCGGGCTTACATCCCCTTGTGTGTCATTTGGCGCGACAACGAATCGCATACGATCCCAGCTGCCCAACTTGTGAGGCACATATTCTCTCCCGGTTAGAAGTAATCGAGCGATGTTTTCATCCCCGCGCGTGGTGAGCGATGTAACTTTTTTTTTTTTTTTTTTTTTTTTTCCCTCTTTAAAGTTCCCTCCCGCCGCTGGTAACATAAAAGGAGCCGCATGTTTGGGTATAGCAGCGGACACACATTAGTAGCCAGCGGGTACCCCCTGATAGAAAAACGCACACATAAAAAATAGGCTTACTCCTCATAGGTGTTGCCGCCTCCTGACGCGACATGCTGCGAGTGACGGGCAGGATCCGCGGGGAAGTGGTCCCCCTGAGGAGGCACTACACCAACAACAGCCGTGGAATGCTGAAGGAGTACGTATATACAAAATACCGAATCAGTTTGCCCCACATCAGTAATGTCAAGTACGACGACCTGTATCTCTCGAGTCCAAGCAAAGATGATCTGTATACATTCACGAAGAAGGTCCCCATTTTCCTTCGTTACTTAAAGTTAATAACTTCCATGGAAAATAGGAATGAAGATTTTGTTGAATTTGCAAGGAGATGTGAAAGTGGCCTGACAACACAAAAGGACATTTACCTAACCAAGGAAGAACTCCTAGATTTAATGTTCTTAAATGGTTATTCAAAAAAAGAAATAAATGCATTAGATTTAGCCTTTACCAACAGCTATGAATTCCATTACCCTGAAATTGCTGCCTTGTTCAAACTGGAGGAAGAAGACGTATACAAATTTTGTCTTAAAAAAAGAAGTGAAAATCCTGAAAAATTATTTCACTTGAAATTTATGAAGGAAAAAAATCTCCTCTCATCATATGGCCTTATATTTGTTTTTCTTTATTTTGGTTTAAATAATGTGGTGTTGAGTAATGCTTGGTTTTTGTCCAAGACCATCCCCTTCTTTTCTGTCTTCTACATGCTAGCTGCTCATTTTTATAAAGAGATATGGGATTTTTTAAATAAGGAAAAGAACCTCATGATAAAACAAAATGAGGACAATAAATTAGCCGCAGAAGAAATTATATATAACCAACTGAAATTATATTCGAAGGATACTGAGTGTAGTGCACACCTGAGTAACTTGAAGGAATATTGTAATGAACTTATTAAATGTTATAGAAGAGCTTATATAAATGAAGAAAGGAAAAGAATACATGAACAGCTAGAACAAAAATTAAATGAAATATATAACGCTGAAGTCAAGTATAAAAACTCTTTACAACAAATCCTGGTACAAGAAATTGTTAAAATGACATACGAAAAGGTAGAGAGTGATTCTAACTTCTACAACTCTATCCTGAACGATAGCATAAATAATATAAAGGGCATCACACAAGACGACACATTAATTAAACATGTGAAGACCCAGCTCAACTTTGTTAAAGAGCTAGATAAACAAAACCCCCTTGTTAAAAACATCCTCGCGCAGTACGAACATAAGAAGGAAGGGTATGTAAACCAGTTCGTGGTGCACAAGGACGAAGCAAACAAAGTCAAGGCTATCACTTCCAAGTGCGGACTCGATTTGAATAAACTCAATAAGGAAGACTATGGGGAGTTGCTCAAACTGTACGGTGCTATAAACAACCGGTTCGGTTTCTACACCAATGACGAGGAAATATCTGCTGTTGTGCCCCGGGACGAGGACTCTAAACACGCTGCGGACACACTCAACCGGGCCATCGCCAATGCTAACCGCCAGATGCGGGAGCGAAACTTGGTGGCCTTCATGCAAGCCTTCCAGTAGAACACTCCAGAGGGGGTAGCGAAACATGGAGAGAGCACTTCTCTTACCACACATATGTGGTGTTGTGGACTGGGTGTCCAGTTTTTGCCTCCCAACAAGAGATTTTTTTTTTTTTTTTTTTTTTTTTTTTTTTTTTTTTTTTTTTTTTTTTTTTTTTTTTTTTTTTTTTTTTTTTTTTTTTTTTTTTTTTTTTTTTTTTTTTTTTTTTTTAGCCACCCCTTGTGGTGTGAGCGTATTCCTTTTTCAAATCACCCCCCCCCCCCAAATGTGCTTCAATCCCGTTGACACGCGTGAAAAGCACAGCTATAATTAAAACATTTGCCAACCACTTGCAGAGCTGCACGTGTAAAAAAAAAAAATACATGACCCCAATATGGAAATGAGGAAACGGCCCACTATCAATTCCCCCCCACCAAAAAAAAAAAATACAACATCACTACCAATCAGGACGTTTTAAATGCCAATTTTTTTGTAGCGTTTTTTTTTTTTAATGAAGCATACGGTGGTGTTGGACTTGCACACACCACTTCGAGTAAACAGTGTGTACATACCGAAAGGCGAGCAAAACAAACATGCGAAAAGGACCCGTACTGTATATTTACATATGCCTGTTTGCGCACACACAAATGTATGTTTGTGTCCTCTCAAATGTTTTGCCTAAGTCGCTTCACGCACCTACAGGAAAGCCGTGGTGCTTGTAAAAAAGGGAAGCGGAGTTGGAGGGAAAAAAGCAGGAAAATATACCCATTCGAATTACCGACTGGTTGAAAAGTACCATGGAGTAGGGGACATATATATCCGCATTTGGGTTGCTTCACGACGTGGGGGACGGGGGGACCCCGCGCGCAACGGTACAAACAGAAACAGAAACATATAACACATACAAACGTGCAAGTGTGCATATGGAACACATCGGTAGGGAAGGAAAGCAGGTACTTGCACACACAGTCATGTGTGCCACACAAAAAAAACAATACGCAGAGCGCGCAGGCCGTCTGCCTCGCGCGCACACAGTGGCGAAAAGGACAATATATTACTTCTATTAGAAGAAAGCGTGCATGCACACGCAAGTGTAGCGGTAGGCGCACCAATGAAGCAGCTACGCACAGCCTATTTCTCCTTTGCGGCCGCGCCTCCTGCCGTTGCTTCCCTCCTCACAAACAGTTTGGCCTTCCTCTCGTTAATGTAAGTCAGCACGCGCACCGTGCTCTGCTTCACCAGATGGTACACTACTGCCATCACCTTAAACAACACTTGAAAAAACATTATTATATAAGTGTAAAAAAGAAGACTCACAATAAGAACTGTGAAAATGCACAGTACGATGGAGGAGAAAACGGGGAAGGCCTCGGCGTAGTTGTATCTGTACATCCACAGAAGCGACACGAACATTATCAAGCTGAGTTGCGCCAGCGTCGTGTTGATGTTCTTGCCGTCGAGGTGGTCTGCACAGGGAAAAAAAAAAAAAAAAAAAAAACGTAACATACATTTGTGCGTACGAGAGGGGGACACGACACAGACTTCAAACCGTATGAATTCCTTCCACAATGTATGTCTCATCCCCTCAGTTCAACTTACCATTGTTGGAGGTGCTTGACTTTTCTGTTATCTTCACATGAATTGTAATAGGGATGTTAAGAAAGCTGTCCTTGGAAGCGCTGGAAGCATTTTTCATGTTCGTTTCTCTGGTCATCCCACTCGTACTTCCAGACCCATCCTTCCTACTGTCATATCCGGATGAACTGGGCTTGCCATTCAAAAGCAAGTCCTTGTAATAATGACTTAAATAATCCTCCAGCCTTTTTTTGTCATCAAGAATTTTCCCCATATATATGAACCGAACGTTCAATTCTGCAAAAAAAAAAAAAAATTCAAGTGCACACACGGTGGAGGGATGGCAGTTACATAATAGCTAGCTGCCATTTAACCTGTACAGAAAAAAAAAAAAAAAAAAAAAAAAAAAAACAAAAACAGGTAAGAAAAAAACAACACGATCACAGATCTCAGAGTTGCGTACTTTTAATTATTATATATATATAAAAGCGTTTCAGAAGCAAACAATAAAGGAGCAACAATTTGTGGGAAAAAAAAAAAAAAACAGAAGTGTAACAGCAAGGCGATCAATGGAAAAAGTACAGAAAAAAAAAAAAAAAAAAAAAAAACATAGACAAAAACAGGTGTCATGTTTTTTTTTAAACAATTCGGCGCGCTTACCCTTTTTAAGGTCTTCACAAAATAATTTCTCCTTAACATTTTTTATAACTTCGCTGCAGTTCACTTCCAGTTCTGTTGGGTAGGTGGAACAGTGGTGAGGGAGACGTGACATATGTTGCTTTGCACCCACGTGTTATTAACAGGGTTATTGCACGTGTGAAGGGGCGAACAGAACAAATATCGCAGCTAAGCGGTAGGAACAGCTAGACGCTGTTCCCCACAAAGCGACATGCTCACACAAATGGGTGATGAACTCAGTGTGCGGGTGAGATCCATTCACGCGTGCTCAGTAGGTACTTATAAGGCGAACTCGGCGAGTGTTGCGCCAAAGCTGCCTGCCCCATCTCGTGCTCGCATCGATCCATGTGGGCGCCGTTGTCGCTCCCGCTATATATCCCGCGCTGCCACTCCTCGCTGGGTTACCCAAATTTTGGGGGATCCCCCTCGGCCTCAGGACAATGAACTTTATCAACTTGGTGACCATCCCTGTTCTCGCGCTAACAACACTGCTAAACAAGTGCTCGTATACGTTGTGTTCTCGCGCGCCGACTTGGAAGAATGCCTCGCGGTCGTACCGTAGCCCTTCTACCAAGCAGAAGATCGGTTAAAAATAATTCCCCCCCTTTTTTTTTTTTATCCCTTTCTTTTTTTCTGCCCTTTGGGGGTATAGCTGCTACGTTGCCAAAGTGTGCCTTTTCGCGGTGGGATACAGTTAGCCGCGATTTTTGCTTAAAAGCCGTGACGTGTTATAAATGGGGGGAAAAAATATTTGACGCGAAAAATGTGTTCGCAATATCACGTAAAAGCAGGATGGAAAAAAAAAAAAAAAAAAAAAAAAAAAAAAAAAAAAAAAAAAAGCAAATGGCCAAGGAACAAATC